TCCGAGATCCAGAGTCGTGAGCCCCGTAGCTCTAGATAGGCAGGCCTCAGGACATCAGACAAGCGTAACTGAAGCAAACTATGCTTCAGAACTTCAGGTGCAGCTCCTTGCATAATGGCTGCGACCATGCATTGCACCGTCCTGCTGCTCCAATCCCTTCAAGCCTGTACGCCTGTATGCTCCCAGCCTGTTCACTTGCGCCAGCGTACTGTGACCAAAGTCCCCGGTGCTGGCGGCTGTCCTGTGATCGGGGATTTTTTGGAGAATCTCTGTCTGGGGGCTTGAGCTTCGAATGCGTGATTGTGACATTCCTTATCAGACGCCAATCGGCACCTGTGAGCGCAAGTCAACGCACTGCCCGGTTGGCAAGTTCCAAAGTCGACCCCACTGTAAGCTTTGAGCTTGGACCTGTTCCAAGTAACCGCCTCCGAGACGCCCGCTGCCAATCAGCGTCGTGATCTGGTTGGAGATGAGGTCCACACGCCTCCGGTAAGCTCTACTATCATTTGCTCGGTGCCTGCCCAGGGGCTGGCACTTTATCGCCGAAGACTTGGGGACTTCTCCAGGCAAACTTAAACTTGGAACTCTGTGCGGTCGGCCTCACTCGCTGATTCAAGGCGTCGGCGATGTACAGGTGATCCAGATGACGTGCGATCCTGGAATGGGCGAAGCCCGACTAGTCCCCAGAAACTGCTCGTAGTCCTGCAAAGGCCAACTGAAAGTTGACAAGCTACGCGGAAGGGTAGTTAAGCGAAGCAGAGAGCGCATCACCACCGTCTCCGGAAAAAGCCACCGCACCATCGCCAGCCACGCTGGAGATAAGCCCGGTTGCGAGGTCCACCACCCTTCCAGGCGGCTTACGCTCTCGACCATGGAGAAAAGCCATGCGCTGAGCCCAGGAATGCATGCAAATCACTGTGCTTTAAGGCCCGGCGGCCCGGGCTCTCCAAATAGTTCAATTAGTCTGAACTACGCCCCTGAACCCTGCAACACCACAAACCCTCAGGCACCCAAAGCGCGACGAACAAAGCTTGCCTTACTCGATGATCACCATCTTCAATCTCCGAGTCGTACAGAAGCGTACCGAAAAGCAAAAGGCCTCACGACAGGAAAGCAGAGCACTCGGCCAACACAGCATCACAAATATCAAAGCTGCTGCTGCCCCGTGCCCTTGCCAACTCCGAAAAAGCCGGATCGAAACCTATCGTGCCTCTGGGGTTGGCCAGGCGCGCGAGGGTAGCCAGCCCTCCGTCCCCTTCGAAAACGCCCGAGTTGAAGCCCGTGGCTCCTGCACCCGTATGCAGACTGCAGATACATCAAGCTTCCGTGGGATGCGAAACTCTTCCGCTGCCGAAAAATGCAGGGGACTACAGCCGTGCGAGTGTCTGCACATACATCGCCATCTCTTGGAGGGATTTCGATTCGACTTTGCGACTGGCCTGAGCCTGCAACGGTGGACAGCGTGTTCGTCTGGACATCCAACAGCCGGATCCTCGCAAGCGACGGCAACAAGGGCGCCCTCACGGCTAGTTCGTGTTCCTGTTGTTTTGGTGGACTCGTCTACCCGTCTATACCCTTCTTTTCGCGGAGGCACCGGTTGTTGACCGAGTCGGTGAAATACACCTGGCCTAGCTGGTTCACCTCCACCGCATGGGGCGCGTCTAGCGTCCGAGACAATGCGGCAGCTGCTGCGTCGTCTCCAGTAGTGAAGCCTCTGGTCCCGGTGCCTGCCACCGTTGTCACTGCCCCAGTGGCCATGTCCAACTGGCGGATGAGATGGTTTGCAGAATCTGCAATGAAGAGCCGATCTTGCCAGATGCCTAAGCCGGCAGGCTCAGAGAACTCTGACAACAACGGGTTTGCGTTGTCCACGGCGCCAGCTGTGTCACGGACTCCGGCCAAATCCCGCACTGATGCAAACTTGCACACAGCTGGGCCGGATACAAAAGCGGGATTGTCGTCTGTTTGTATGAAGCCCCCAGTCCCAGAAGTTGTGCTCTCCAAGAGGGTGCATGTGCCAAAGTCTGTACTGCTGCCGGACATGTCAATCATGAAATTGAAGTGCTCACAGCCAGCCGTGGATTGACATATCTGTTGGCACTCGCGTGCAGACCTTGACGAAAGCCCTGACAACGCCTGCCCGCTTGTGATGTTCGTCCCGGGCTGCAGGCAGAAGCGAGCTCCCAAGTCAATGCCTGCAGTCAGATGCATGGCAGTGGCCAAGAATCAGTTGTAAATTTCCCAGCCGACTGTGCACACTCCAAGCCACAGTGCCTCGGATCACCTGTCGGCTCCGCTCAGCCTGGCGGGGATGCGCTCCCACGAGCCGAGCCCAACCCAACAGTTGATGCCTGGTAGAGGGGTGCGCCAGCTGGGCCGGTGCCATGTGCCAGGCCGCTTGGCTCATCCACCGGTACCTCCTCGCGGCTTCGAGGGGAGCTCAAGGCCTAGGTTTCCCACTTAGGAGGTCCTCTGCACAGTCGTCGCCATGCAGTCCATCCTCAGCATCGCTCCACTCCTAGCTGCGAACCCCGGGTACGACGGACAAAACCACAGGCAGAGCTTTCCAAGCCAGATCCACAGAATCCAGTCGGATTGAACCCAGCGGCCAGCCCCGCGGTACCGGTCCCGGCAAAAGTCAGAACCTTGGGACTTCAGCTTTGGAGCCCCAAGGCCTCAAGCAGTTCCAGCATGTTCCAGCGTCCGAGGTGCCTCGCCCAACCGGGCTGTACGGGAAGTGACCGGAGCTTGGCCCTGAGATATTTTGTTGACCAGACGTGCATCCGAGCGCTCGAGCTTTTTGTTTGAGATGCTTGGGCTTCTTCCATGTTTCTCCCCTCGAGAAATGCCGGGTGCAGTTTGTTCTCGCAAGTCCCTCCGGCCTGCCAGGGACCGGAGGACAAGTCTGAAGCATCATCGCAATGGCGATGTGGCAGATACCCCCAGCATCCCTCGGACAAGGCACGGAACTATCTTGCACGAAGGATGCACTACCCGTGCCCGACCATTCCTGGCAGAACTGACATCATGCAGCCAACGAGGAACTCCTCTGCCTTGACCCTGATACTAGCAAGCAACTGCTTGGCTAGCAAGGCCTGGAAGCTGAGGCAGTCCTCCGCCATATGGAAGCGAAAGAAACCCCTGTGCACGGAGGTTGCACAAGCATTCCGAAACCATCGAAGCGCTGTACTCCATGAGCCCTCGCCGCCTCGGCCGCTCCGCATAGCTCCGGCCCCACATCCCAGTCACAGTGGTGCCGACAACTTGCCTCAGCCAACCATCGCGGCACAAGTTAACGCTCACACTCTCTCCGAGTGTTTCGTTGAGTAGTTGTTGGAGTTTGAGGATAGTTTGTCAACAGAGGGATTCTGACATGCAGTGCATTGAGTCTTGAGCCTAGCAACACGTTCCACAGGATCTGGCTCGGCATGCCATACCAACACTGGGTGCTGGAGCTGTTGGCACAATCGCCGCTCCCAACGTGCAGAAAGCCATAGTCGGACTTCATGCACCTTACATTTCACAGTTTTGCGATGGGGTGGCACCTGCAGATTGCTTCTCAACCTTGAATCACGCCTACAATCCTGTTCCTGGGACGGGCTGGAGAGACAGGCACGGAGCCAAACACCAAGAAAGGGATAGCCGAACAGCCGCGAGACTGAAGATTGAAGAGGCTGCACTCGGTGTACCTCATGTAGAGCTGTCGTACCTGTCAAGGGCTGAATAGCGCTCCACGGAGGACGTCTGCTCTTCTTTGGTACCCGAGTCCTCGAGGCCCCACCCAACCTTTGCCCTCGACCTTTCAATCCCAAGCCGTGTTGTGCCCTGGACAGCACCTCCGATGTGACCAGGGCCCGGGAATAGACCTGGACCTCGTCCAGGAGTCCCCTGAAGTACACCTGGGACCAAGGTAGATCGAGCCGACATGTTGCGACCCTGCAAAGGTGCAGTCAAAGAGATTCCCAAACAGGGTGTTTCCCTACATGGAAACAGAAACTTCCGGCTGAAGCCCTCACCTCCTCTTCGAACAGAGAACACAGCACGTTAAAAGTCGACGGAAAAAAAAACTCGCGAGTCGATGACCTCTTTCTGCACAAACAAAGAGTTCTAAGCTGACCGCACCTGAAGTGAAGAAAGAAGGAACAGACTCGGATGCCCGAACATTCGCCACGCTTACTTCTCCGTGTGCCGCTGACCGGCTTCTGAAGCTGAAACGGCGGTGGATGGCGGTGGGACGTGGATTCAACATGACGCACCGGGATGGGCTTTACTCAGCCTCAGCCTTCCATCTGACCAAACCGCCGCAGAAACTAGGCAGAAACCCTGGTGGCTACATGGCTCTCCTGCCTGGTTGTGGTTGTCGACAAAAGCGCCGACGGAGAGCACAGAGTCCAAGTATCCTGATGACAAGACTTGCGGATGAACTCCTCGGCATCCGTTCTGTCCAGAGTAGCTACCGATGAACATCTAGCTCAACGTGCTCTAGGCCCGCCCAGGACCTGACCTAGGACCGGAGTCGGCAAACATCTGCCGAAACTAAGAGGACAGCTTGAGAAGGCTGCCGGCCAAACCCGTCGGCCGAGCGTCGAATCCGACCGTGCGTGTGGTTGGCATCTGGGAGGAAATTTGAGTAGCCTCCAGTCCGAGCATCTGCCATACTTGCTGCAAGCGTCTTGCCAAGCCGCAAGATTTTTTTGAGGCGCAAGCCGTTTAGGTAGGCCACCGAACGATTGTCAACCTCAAAGCACGACGGTGCGGCAGCTAGTCTGGGAGTACCTGCTGAACTGCCACAAGCCTTCGCCTTCGCGCTACAAGGCCTCCAAAAAGACACGTAGCCTCCACGCCGTCCCAGAACAATCGTGCTAGGGAGCCATCGTACGTGCCCACCACATGGTGCCAGGTTTGCGTGTTAAACGACGGCGATGCCAACCAGTTGACCTCGTGCCTGAAAAGATCAGAGCCACTGAACTCAGTGGCTAAAATAAAGTGCGCCTGACCCGCAGAGGACACAAAGAGCGACCAGCCAGCCGACACTTCACCGTCGAACTGCACAAAGGAAATAATGCCACCTTTATCCACAAAGGAATCGACATTGATCCATGCCGCTACAGTGATCTCTTGCACCGGAAGCCCGAGTGCAGATGCAGAGAACAGGTCTCTGGGATGGGGGGAGCCCCAGGCAGAGCCATCAAAGCTTATGGCTCCTCCGGCCCTGCCATCCACCCACACCGACGTAAAGTCAACGGAAAGGAGCTCCAAGTGATGCCCTGTCGGCTCCGACTCCAGTTGCAAGATGCCAGACCCGGATCCACGTGCGGTGTTGCTCCCAATCCAATCTAAGCCTGCCGAGGAATTGCTGGACTCGATTTGGGCATCATCGAAACGCCACTCGAGCAGAGGCGTAGGTAAACCAGTGGCCGATGCCACCTGTGCAGCAATCGCTCCCGGCATGCCGTAGTTGCCACTAGGACTGAGCAGCGACACCGGGGATTGTACATGGAGGGTGCCTGTATCGACCCAGCTCGAAGCCGTGCTGCAGGCAGTGTCGCAATGGCAAACCTGGTAGATGCCAATCTCTGTTACCGTCAAATCCGCCCACCAATGCACCGTCTCTCCCAAAGGCAGCTCGTAGACGGTGGGCTCCGTGTCACAGGCCAGGACACCCCCACAGCTGAGGCCAAGGACGTTCGTGCTCAGCGCATCGGACTGGCAGCTGCCGCCTTCGTCGATGAGCTTCAGCCGCCCTTGAGGCGCCGGACTGCTCCGATCCAACCCCACGGCACCTGAGTTCTGCACGCTTCTTTTTGCTACCATTTACCACTCTACCCCTTTCTGCATCCGAACACCGAGCCACTGATTGCAAGATTGAAAGGGGCGTATTGCACGCGTGTCCAAAGATTTCCGGTGCTGATGGCCGGAAGCACATAGAGCCTGCGACACGCCCGAAGCTCCCCTGTCCCTGAAGCCCCAGTGCTCACCGAACACGCAAAAACTTTTGTTGGGGCAGCGGCCAGCCGACGAACGCAGTGAAATCCAGCGGAGATGAGCAGCCATCAGAGATAAAGGACGCTGCATAGCCATCGGAGCAGTAGCCTGAGTCAAAAAAGCCAGAGCTCACATGAGCAGAACTGCTTTTGCTTCCATGCACTAGGTCTACTCGACGAAAACTGCACAGCTCGTTCAGTTCTCAGGAAGTTGCAGAAGCAGGCCAAGCAACACATGCGCCAGGATCCACGGGCCGTCAAGTCTGCTGCAGCTAAAATCAACTCTTGGTCACCTTTGTCAGGACATGTGCGACGCGAAGGTGGTGAGTCAGTCAACCTCCAGCCTCTGGCCTGCTGGAAGATACAGGTCTTGATTGATGGTGACATCCTTGTCGGCAACACCACAAACGCCTGTAGTGAAAAGCACCTTCCGGTTTCGCACAACGTCTTTGCCTACAAGACTTGTCGCTGCATGCCTTGCGTGGAAGGAGCCCGGCATGGCAGGACTTTCCCTGGCCGGCCTTGTCCGCGGACACGTTGAGGCCCTGTCCAGTGAATCCCGCCAGGCCGGTGAGGGTGCAAGGCTGTCCAGCCAAACAGTTCACGTCCTTCCAGGCTTCAACAAAAGCGGGCGTCGTCAAGCTTTGCTGGTCACGTCGCCTGCGTCGCCGGGCTCGGCCCCAAGACTGTGAGCATCCCTGCCAGCACGGGGAAATCGTCGAAGGAATTGCATCCTCCATATCCGTCACCTGAGAGAGGCTTCTTTCTCACAGGGGCAGCGACAGCGGAATGCATTTGCATCGCTGCTCCGACCGGCATCCTGTAGTTGCTGGCCAAATTGCTACAGAAGCAGATCAGCCACTGCCCTCCTTGAGGCACCTGGAAGACATCTTCGTGGATTTGAAACAACATGAAGGCCCAATGCCTGGAGGGCGATGAGCTCCACTTGATCCAGCCAGGTGAGGTCCAGAAACTGCCCTCAGGAACGAATTGATCAGTGTCACGACAACGAACGCAACGTCACCTTCCCAAGACTTTGCAAGAGCTGCTCACAGCAATAGGATTCACAACCTATGTCCATCTACTGTCACTGCAAGGCAAGCCACCGAAACCCACGTTGGAATCGAGTGCCGTGCTGCCACAGGTGCCGCTGCTGGCCACTAGGGCCTTTGCTGAATGACTCTTAGTCTTCAAAACTTCTGTAGTTGCATCCTGTGATTCCGCAGCAGAGCGCCATGTGCCGAGCTGCCACTTTGTCTCCGCCCTTGGACGTCTCTCCGCGGAAGCCCCGTGCGCCGCCCAAAGTGCAAGGGACCCCTGCACGGCACGTCGTATCCTGCCAGCAAGGATGCTAAATTCCTCAGTACAACGAAGGCCCTACCCCGTCCACCGCTGCACCTGCGCATGCGAACTTGGACCCAGCACCGTCAGCAGCCCTGCAGAAATACCTCGGCATCTTAATACAACGCCTCCACGACAGCTGGCCGAAACCGGGCCAATGCGATTCCCGCAGCTCTGAAAGTGCCGTGAAGCGAGATCCCGTTATACTTTAGCTTGGCGGCGGAAGTCCGTCAAGGAAGTGCAGCTACCCGTATTCAGGTCGCCCAGCGGTGTAGCGAGGCAGTAGCACATCTTCCAGCCTGAGTTTGGCTGGCTTGGGCTTGCAAGCAACTGAGGCAGCCAGTTATGTTACCGAGACAGATGGTGAGGTGCAAGTAGTGGTGGGCCACAAGTCGCTTTCCATGCCCCGCCCCTCCAAATTCCGACAACTCGAAGTGGAAGGCTCCAAACTAAGGCGAACACGTCCTCCATGTGGAATGTCAGACGGCAGGAGGTCCAGCTGAAAATCCTTGAGCTGGAACGCAAAAGCTGTGCCAGCAGCACAACACGGCTGACGGAACCTATGCAGACCACAACATCAGGCCGAGACTCACTCGCCACTTGCCTAAAGTTCCCGGACCCGGTGCTTAGCACGCTCGCCGTCGCGTTGCCGCAGTCGTCGTCGTAGGAAACCAGGGCCACTGCATCCTTCCAGTGGTATGAACTTTTTGGAAACACAAAAAACGCAAGAAGCTTTGGATCACATCTATCATCGACCTTGGAGCATCTGTACGCAAAAACGAACCTCGAAGTCTCGAGCCCGCCTGTGTGCTGCGACCCTCTGCCGTGAAGCCGGCACTGGGTACGGAACAGGCAAGCCCAGCTCGACAAGTGGAGTCCTGACTGCGCTGGGGTTTTTGCTCAGGTATTTCTTGCTTTCGTCGGCAGGCCTTCCTGTAATTCGACTACCTTGCACGGCCGTACTCTCCTCACACCTTGCTTCACCCAGTGCTCACCAATCCCTTCTTACAAAAAGCCACAATGCAGGACACCCCTGCGCGACGCGACTCGCTCTCTGCGTGATTCAAGGGCTCTCATTCTCCAAGACGCCTGTGCACTCGTCGGGCCATGCACTGTAAGCAGCCCAGCATCTGCAGCGAAGTCCTGCCGTGAAGCCGGGCTGCGAACCGTCCCCATCAGTCTGAAGCCTGGCCTAGCTTCCTGAACACGCTCCCAGCCACTAGTTGGGAAACGCCCTGAGTTTTGCAGTCAAGGGACACCCAGAGAGTCACAAGATTCGAAGTCCTCGGTTTGGGACTTGCCGATTCGTGCCACTACCACACCAAAGATTAACAAATCTTGAAACATGCTACGAGAAGCCGCCAAGCCGCTGCGCAGTAGCAAACCCGCCAGGTTCCTCCGATCGGAAGGTCTGCAGCTGAAAGCGAGAGGTTGCCGTCTGCATCCACCTCGCAGTGACCAGCCGGACCCCCCGATGCAGCGAGAGCATCTCTTGGAGATGCGGACTGCCTGCCGGTACATGTCCCGAGCGAGCAAGCGACTCCGCTCATCTGCACCACAGGACCTCGGCTCACAAGCACGTCGGCCAAAGCATGATGTCCTCAGCAAGTGTGTAAACAAGTACAAGTAAGCAAAAGTGGTAGGTCGGTACGTGCATCTTGGGCAGGTAGAGCCCGAGCAAGCGGCCCGGCAGACGGCACGAGCGCGACGCGGTCCTCAGACATCTGCGGTGATGCACATGCATGCCGGCTTCTGCACATCCCTGACAGGCCAACTTCGGGTCCTCGGCTGCGAGCTCCGTGCCCCGGATGTCCAGGACGCAGTTGACGCCGGCAACCTCTCTCCGTGCGAAACTGCTGGCAGCTCTACATTAACCTTCAACTGCCATTAAATCAGGCTCCAAATCTGTGTTGGCTCGCTCTATGCGGCCCTGCTTTGTAGATAGCCGACTCAAATTCCCGCGTGGTCGATCGAAAACATGACGGGCTCGTGACCACTAGTTCAGACCAGGCACGCACAGAAAGGACTGCGACGGACTGGGACCTCGCACCACGAGAATCCCAGCCAGCACCTGGTCTGGGTGACGCGGAACCGCTGAAGCACGGCGACATCCCCACCGGTTACTCATGGTTGCTCTTCAGGGTGAGCAGTGCATTCAAAGCCGAATCTCAGACCTCAAGCAGAGCGGAGCATCTCCTGAATTGCAGACCAAGCACTCCGAAATCAGCATTACCGTTGTCACCACATGCGGCGCCACCAGAGTCATCAGGACAGTGGCACATCTTCCACCTGCCCAAGTTGTCTGGGGGATGTCCGGCTGTCCATGACCCTGCCCCTCTGCACCTTAAAACCTCGAAAATGCCAAGACTTCCCGGCCTCCCTCCTTGAGGAAGGGCGGAGCCTGCCAAACTCAGTGTCTGGCCCGAAAGTGCGAGGAAGCCTCCTGCCAAGGCGATTCCAACATCAACAGAGCTGATGCGTTGTCCTACCTTTCCCTTCCCTGTCCTTAATCACCACCCTTTTTGCCTGCACTGCTATATCAGTATCCTGAGACAGATATGCCGCAGCGCTCACGGAAGCGTACCGACGTCTGGGGCCTTTCTTCTTGCGGCAGGCCGGCTCTTTTTCACTTATCTTGCGCTGCATTCAACCAGTATTTTATCATTTATCATGTTTATCACGTCGACACCTTCCAGAAATTATGGCGCAGAGGCGAAGTTCCCTCGTTGGTCGACCAATCCCGTCCTACGAGTATGGCTGTGCTTTGTGGAGCCATGCACCCAGCCGATCCGAGCTGCCTGATGCCACAGTCGCATCCGGGGCCGTCGACCCGCAGCTGCCGCCCTGAAGCTCTGATTTGTGTGAGCTTGCGACAGAGGCCATGCATTCAAGCATGAAGCGAAAAACTTTTCGGAGTGTTGCAGTGGCTTTGGTAGGGGCAAGTTGCGGCCCAAGACCGAGTGGTTCTGCTCTCTCTATGTTCCGGGTGTGAGCCTCTGCTACCAGTGCCAAGTGGTCGAAGCTGGTAAGCCGCTGCCCGGCGAAACGCAGCGTACAGGCCTCCCCAGTGCAGAGCAGAACGGAGGTGATGTGCTCAAATGGCTCCACAGAGTGGCACAGCTTGGCGTGTTTCTGCGTACCCGGGAATCTACCCGAAACAGGCGGAGACTTCGCCAGGCCCAAGGGCTGCAGGGCACTGCAGGGCCTGGCCAGCTGTGCAGCGCTGGTCCTTCGACAGATGCAAACTTTCAAACTCAGGCTGAGGCTCCTCTTGCTAACAGGCTTTCTGAGCAGTGCAGCACGGCTCCAAGGAGTGTGATAGTGTGATGCGAGGTCCTGATTGGACAACGGGCCGTAGAGAGTGAGGATGCCTGCGCGGGTTGTGTAGTCATCCGCCGCATTGCAGCCCGCGCCATCAGCTGAAGAGCAGTAGCAGATGTGCCACGTCCCTCCTCGCTCCGTGGCTCCACCTGAGCCCACATCTCCCGCAGCCAAGATGGCATCCCAGGTCGAAGTCCCGGAAGAGTAGAGGAGTGGGCGGTATGCATCTCCCCCTACCGAGGGATCTCGGGCATCGACACCGCAATCGTTGGACATGAAAGCGATCCAGTCTCCCACCGAGATGTAGCCAACGAGCTGGATGGTGCACGACTGCCCTGCAGTGCAGGCAACCTGCAGGCCGTTGGTGCTGGGCCCGTAGACTGTCAGAAACCCCAGCTTCGCACCGAACTCGTCATCATCATCACCTGAGCACAGACGCCCGTTCAAGGAGGATTATCTGTCACCGCCGTCGTCTTCCTCCATCCTCGCAGACATCACATCAGCCAAGCCGCACCCACCGACATTCGCGCAGTAGCAGAGCTTCCAGTGGCCACCCTTGTGTCCGGACATTCATTTCAAAACGCATGTGGCAGGGGTGCAAGTAGAGCCGAAAGAAAAACCTGTTGGCGGCCACGAGACTGCCGGCAGCTGGGCAGAGGACAGCATCAATTGTGCCAGGCCGGAACCCTGATCGAAGCTCAGCTCCTTGTCCTGATTTGCTCATGCATCGAAAGCTGAAAGCAAACCAAGGACTTCCACTCCTCTCCCTGGAAGATCCCCGCAGCAGCCGCGGCTCCACACGAGGAAGTGTTAGCCTCCCGTGGCAATTCTGTTTTTGCTGCTTACGGGAATCGTGCTCGCAGCCGGGGGGCCACAGCTCGGAGCCGGTCCAGCGAGGAGAGCCCTTGGCCCGTGGCAGTGACGTTGCCTGGGCTGGGAACTTTGCTGGATCACTTGAGTCGCATGGCAGAAGACTCGAAAACTGAACTCAATCCTCGCTGCAGGGTCGGCCAGCCACGCATGACCTGCATGCAAGCGACACTTGACTGGGCACCTTGACAATAAGATGGTAACTTTACGGGATGGACGTATAGCGTGAGGAAATATGCCGGAACGCTCGCAAATCCGTTCACTGCGACCTGCCCCCCCCTCAAGCGCCTGTCTTGCGAGATTGATGAGGGGCCCTTCACGGACAGCACCCCCACCAGTGCAGAAAAGAAGACGTCGTCCGCGCAGCTTCCGGATAGGGTAACGCAGTAACCTTCGCGAAAGAACCCGAGAACCCACAGCGCGCGAAAATCCAAGACACGCAGCGGCGTGCTCATGCTGCCTTTGCGCCGGCTGTCTCGACATATGCTGGCGTGAGCTGTTGAGCTGTTGCATGCCAGAGAAAAAACCCCAGAAACGCAAGAGCCCACCAAAGCGCCCCCATGTGCCCCGAATTCGAGCGGCAGATCAGCCACTGCCCACCGACGGGCAAGTCTGAAGCCGAGAGCTCAAGGACCTCAGCAGGCGCAGATCGCAGCTGCTTTACTGCTTTACGTATTGGACGTACTATTCTTTATGCTCACACTCGGACCGCTCCCCGCATCTCCCAAAGCCGCGTGACGCCGCCGCTCTGGACGGAGACAGTGCCGCCGCCCAGCATCGCAGCATCCCGGCTGCTTCCACAGGCACCTATCGAATGGCATGCACTGGTGCTTGAAGCTCCTCCCGAAACTTGCCGTGGAAGCATGAGAACCGATGGTGCGCTGCTCTGAGCCACGCAACTTGCCACTGGCACAAGGATCGCCGCATCAGTGCCTGCCTCAGTGAGGAGTCAGAGTGGGATGCCGACAAAGCCGACAAAACCGTTAGCCAAAGTCGGTGCCTGCCTGCAGACTCTCGCCGGCCACGTGGATGCGGCAAGCGAAGCCGGCAGTGCACGTCCGGTCCTCCAATGAAGCCCGATTGCACTCCTGACTCGTGCCGATTCCATATTGACCCCAATAGCAGCTGTCGTTGTCCTGCGTGTTGGAAGTGGGTCCATTCACTTGCAGGTAGCCAGCAAAAGCTCCGAAGTGGGCAACGTCGGTACAGTGGCCTGCCAGTGCTATCAGTGCTATCTGGTGAAACAGATGAAGGCGAGAGCGGACAGAGAGCGAGAGGGAGGGAGAACACACAGCAACACAGAAAGAGACAGAAAGAAAGACAAGCTTTCCAATCCGGCGACGCCTGCGCCTACGGATCCTGCAGCACAGTAGCACACGTTCCAGCGGCCACCCTTGCCGAGAACACCTGCAAGAACCGCGCAACGCTGAATAGATGGCCACATCATGCAATTCAGATGTCTTGAGACACTTGAGACACGACCGGCACCACCAGAGATTGCACACCGCTCCATCCATAATGAATTCGTGCCTGCTGAGAGGTTGTGGATGTAGTTGGAGCCATCAAGGCCTCGTTCACCATGCTAATGCCACTCACATGCCAATGACTATCGGCCATTCTGCAAAGCAAAACGGCCGCGAAAGCACAGCGGGCTGCCACATTCCTGCGATCGACATGCCTTTTTGCAGTGCTTTAGAACGCATTTGCAAATCTTGAGCCAGGTCTCTAAGCGCGAGGTAGCCTGCGCCAAACTGGTCCACATCGTGGCCTGAGTAGCCACAAGTTCCTGAAGCGATTGAAGTTCGAGGGCGCTTCGGCTTTCGGCTGTGACCGTCCTCCGAAGGGTGTCAATGCGAGCTTGTCGTTCGCCGATAAACTCTGGCCGACGAATCCACCGCCGAGACTGCCCCCGAGAACGCAGTCGGAGCCGGCCACGCAGATCCGATCCTGCACCTTGCATCGCAGACTCAAGACTCCAAATCCAAACTTGCTGCATGCCGCTGAGGCACAAAGGGGCCCACCACCGTCAGGATCCCGGCCGTGACGGTGAATTCCTGGCGCCGAGGGCTGAGGGGGAAGCGAAACCCGGCCTGGAGCCAGCGGCCTCTGTGGAGCTGCATGCCTCTCCGTCGGCATCTGCACCGTCGTATGTGGGACATAAGCACAACCTGGGCCGACTGCGAAAAATGCGCATGAACGAGTCTATGCCAAGAATAACTCATTGAAAATCCACCCAGCTGCTGCCACTGGCCTCCGTACGGAACATCGGCCTGCACAAAAAAGGCAACCCACCCGACAATGCCAATATTGCCGCAAGCATGCGAACCAGGGCGGTTGGGCGCCTGTGTCAGCTCCAGCATGCCCCCAGAGCCCATAGCCTTGGACACGGCCTGCGCCACTCTTGGCGAAGCCTGGACAAGCCAACTGCACACCAAACTCAGCGTCTGCCGGGGCTCGCCTGGCCAGCAGCATCCCGCGCATCCGCCGTCTTAGCAGTGATTTGGATGCTTCTTCTCTTTGCATGGCATGATTAAGCTCGTTCTCCCCCTGAAAACGTGGTTCTTCCGTAAATGTGTGTATATATACATACATATATGCATCTTTGTTTGTGTGTATGTGTATGCATATGTATGTATGTATATATATATATGCATGCATGTATACCGTATACATATATATATATATTATACCTTTATTTAGTTATAATATATGCAAAAACACATACATACATACATACATACATACATACATACATACATATGCACATGCACATGCACATGCACATGCACATGCACATGCACATGCACATGCACATGCACATGCACATGCACATGCACATGCACATGC